AACCATCGGTGAGTCTTCTTCCTTCTTGTATAACTTCCCAAGTTTGGTGTGAAGCGTCCGATCGTAGTGTCCATTTTCCTTGGTTCCCTTCTATGTGTTTTGAGTAGAAGGCAAGTGGTATTGTCTACAAGTCAACAAAGGAGAAGTTAAGCAAAGGAAATAAGCAGAGGAGAAATAGAGAGCGTGTGTATACCACGCCGCTGCAGAAACCAGGAAGCAGAGGCTTCAAGAAGTGAGGTTCATGCTGATTCGCCATCTGCAAACAAGAAACGAAATTGAAACATTTTAATTCTAAGTCTGGAAGACTTATACTAAGTCGTCTGGGTCGTCCACCTGGAAGACTTCCCAGACGACTTATATTAAGTCGTCTGGGTCGTCCACCTGGAAGACTTTCCAGACGACTTCACCAAGACTTCCAGTAGAACATTTGAAAGCTGACCAGACGAATGAGACGAGAACAACATCCAACCTAACTAGACCACATATCGATTGAAATCCCCAATCTTTGAAACCCTAATTTGAGAATGAAAATATCCACAAATTGCTTGAAATTACAAATCGTAACCGTGAAATGAGAGGAAAACAACATCCAACCTAACTAAACAACAAATCGATTGAAATCCTCAATTTTTGAAACCCTAATTTGAAACCAAAATTTCCAGAAATCGTTGAAAACACAAAACAAAACGGTAAAAGTAAAGGAAAACAACATCCATCCTAATAAAAACCCATAAATCCGCAAGAGAAACCTTCGATTTACCTTGGTCTTGTATCAGATCGAAATCGCCTCGAAATCACCTTTGAGAGAAACGGCGTTAGGGTTTTCTGAATTTCGCGAAAAATGAGTAAAAAAAAAAAAACATCTTATATATGTCCGGTCAAAAATACAGTTAGGTTTAAAAGTATTTTGGTAAAATCCGGTTTGGACGACTTATAATTAAGTCGTCTGTTGATACTATAAGACGACTAAGTCGTCTGCATTATTAAATATATTTACCAGACGACTTAAATATAAGTCGTCCAGACCCTAAACCCTAAACCCTAAACTAAATTAACTAACTAACCACGTTATAAAATCAAATTATACTTAAATATTGTTTACTATACACAGAAATAAACACACTTAGGTAAATTTTTAATTTTTCAAAAAAACATTTATGCTTTCGAAAATCTAACCCTAAGAAACACATACAATACTACAACATATGTTGGTGAAACCTAAACTAAAGAATATCATGACTCACNTTTCAAAAAAACATTTATGCTTTCGAAAATCTAACCCTAAGAAACACATACAATACTACAACATATGTTGGTGAAACCTAAACTAAAGAATATCATGACTCACTACTTTCACTCATCTATGCTGAAAACAACTGACTTTTGTTATATATTAATTTATATCTCTTAAGACATATGTTAATTACATAATTCCAATTTTTCAAAATATTTATTACACAATTTTTAAATTATTTTTAAGAAAAACTGTCTCAGTCGTCTAGACGACTTAGTTTAAAGTCGTCCGGGCAGACGACTTGCGAGGGTTAGAAACGTAAAAAAAAATTATTTTTTTGTTTGTTCATAAGGGATTGGTTGTAATTTCAACAGCTTTTTAAGTTACTTTTGCATTTGATTCAAGTTTGGGTTTACTTTTGCATTTCAAATCAAGTTTTGAATCATATTTTGCAATTTTCCCTCATACTTATCTCATAATATCTTATACCCCAAGTTACGCTATCTACAAGTACATAACCATATTACATCAAACCAAACCATACCGATCATACCGGCCCTCTAACAGCGATTACGTTAATCTGAAAACAATTTGGTTGGTTTGATTAAAAATGTAAAACATTGATCAAAATTATCATTTTAGAGAAATAATTGACTACCACGCAAACGGTTAATACTGATGTCAACCCTTTTAGGACGTAAACTACTAAAACAACAACATTCTTGAATCTTAGACCAATTCGACGCTTACGTGGTTGGTCTAATAGACATGTACTAGTCAGTCCAGTTGCCATTATAGGACGTAAACTACTTAAACAACATTTTGACCATTTCGACGCTTACGTGGGGACGAGTCACAATCACTTTGACTTTTTGTTTAATCTTCAGACATACATCGTCTTCCTCTCTCATCAACCATCAATTCAATCACACACCTTATCCTCTCTTTAGATCCGTAAAAAATGGAGAAATCCGGCTACGGCAGAGACGGCATTTACCGATCACTCCGTCCAACACTCGTCCTCCCCAAAGACCCCAACACCTCCTTAGTCTCTTTCCTCTTCCGTAACTCCTCCTCTTACCCTTCAAAACCAGCCATCATTGACTCTGACTCCGGCGACTCCTTAACCTTCTCCGACCTCAAATCCTCCGTTGCTAGACTCGCACACGGCTTCCTCAAACTGGGTATCCGTCAAAACGACGTTGTTCTCATCTTCGCTCCGAACTCTCACCAGTTCCCTCTCTGTTTCCTCGCCGTCTCCGCCATCGGAGCCGTTTTCACCACCGCGAATCCTCTCTACACCACCAACGAGGTCTCCAAGCAGATCAAAGACTCGAACCCTAAACTCATCATCACCGTTGAACCATTACTCGATAAAGTCAAAGGCTTTAACCTCCCTTTAGTGCTCCTCGGATCTAACGAGAGTCTTGAATCAAACTCAAAGATCGTCACTTTCAAGAAAGTGATGGATCTTTCAGACAAAGTTTCAGATCTCCCTGTCGTTGACATCAAGCAATCCGACACAGCTGCACTCTTGTATTCGTCAGGGACCACAGGGATAAGCAAAGGTGTTGAACTGACTCATGGGAACTTTATAGCAGCGTCTTTGATGGTGACGATGGATCAAGATCTCATGGGAGAGTATCACGGTGTGTTCTTGTGCTTTCTTCCCATGTTTCATGTGTTTGGTCTTGCTGTGATCGCTTACTCTCAGCTTCAGAGAGGGAATGCTTTGGTTTCCATGGCTAGGTTTGAGCTTGAGTTGCTGCTTAAGAATATTGAGAAGTATAGAGTTACTCAGCTTTGGGTTGTTCCTCCTGTGTTCCTTGCTCTTGCTAAGCAAAGGGTTGTGAAAAAGTATGATCTTTCTTCGCTCAAGTATATTGGGTCTGGAGCTGCTCCTCTTGGGAAGGATTTGATGGAAGAGTGTGGAAGAAACATTCCTAATGTCGTGCTTATGCAGGTAAAATAAACTTACTTTCTAATAGATTAATCTATGTGAAATAGTCTTAGCTGTTTAAGTGTGGTTTGTTATTATTCAGTTGTGTTGACCATCCTACTTTATTGTAGTGATAGTCTCAGTTTAGCATAACCGATTGTACATACCACACTTAACCAGTTAGTCAATAGTCTATTACATTAGGCCTGCAGGTTAGGTTAGTTAATTTGGTTTGGTTCGGTTAATAACAGGAGGCCTAGTTAGCATAGGCCTTGAATCCCTTGTCATGGATGATTGTTTGACTGATGCATAAGAGGTGTTTTGTGGTTTATTTAGGGTTATGGAATGACTGAAACGTGTGGGATAGTCTCTGTGGAGGACCCGAGGCTCGGGAAAAGGAACTCTGGTTCAGCTGGAATGCTTGCTCCTGGTATTGAAGCTCAGATAGTAAGTGTAGAATCTGGAAAGTCTCAGCCTCCTAATCAACAAGGGGAGATATGGGTTCGAGGCCCTAACATGATGAAAGGTTAGTGTTTTTCAAGAATTCGCTAGGCGGTAATTAGGAGCAGTGAATGTCTTGGCACCACCTAAACTGACTTTAGAACACCACTCTTTTGCTTTGTGTCAAAATCATGTGAACAAAGTTCTCTCTTTTCAGGTTATTTCAATAACCCTCAGGCTACTAAAGAAACAATAGATAAGAAAGGTTGGGTACATACGGGAGATCTTGGTTACTTCAACGAAGATGGTAACCTTTTCGTTGTTGATAGACTCAAAGAACTTATCAAATACAAAGGCTTCCAGGTTGCTCCAGCTGAATTAGAAGGTCTACTCGTATCACATCCTGAGATACTAGATGCTGTCGTTATCCCGTGAGTCATTTATTCACAACTCAGTAATCCCTTTTTCGAAAACATTAACATTAATATATGTTGTAGGTTCCCTGATGAAGAAGCTGGTGAAGTTCCAATAGCATTTGTTGTACGCTCACCAAATAGCTCGATAACAGAGGAAGATATTCAAAAGTTCATAGCTAAACAGGTTTGATCATTTATGACAAGTCTTTTGAATCAATCTGTATCAGTGTGTTTGCTCTTAACCATATTTGTTTGCTTGTATTAGGTGGCTCCTTACAAAAGATTAAGGAGAGTGAGTTTCATTAGCAGTGTTCCAAAATCTGCTGCTGGTAAGATCTTGAGAAGGGAACTTGTTCAGCAAGTAAGGTCCAAGATGTGAAGCATCTTATACTGCGGGAGATCAGAGTCATCTCTGTGCTGTCTTGTCTTTTTCACGTTTTTATGTATCATTTGAAATTAAACAATTACACAAACTGTACAAAGTGAAGAAAAATAACACAGGCTCAGAGGTAAAATACATGCACAATATTCTATCTTTCTTTCTATTTTTAGCAATAAACAAACACATGTTTCTTCACAAGAAAAAATATACTCTGGTTTGTTTTGGTCAAAACAATATGAGAATTTGCCAAATATACATTTATACCTTATCTAATTTTACCATTAAAATTTTAATAGATAAAATACTATTATACTCCTAACTAATTTAATCTAAAACCATTCTTTTTTTTTCCTACCATTCTTTTCAAATTTTAGATCCACCAAATTGAAGATATCCGGTGATCAAACCCGATGAGATTCGATGACGCTGACTAGTTCGCCGGCTAGATTTGATGACGCTGACTAGTTCTTCGGCGAGATTCGACGACTGACGAGTTCTGCGACCAGATTTAACGAAGACTACAACCTCAAACGAACAAGACGATCTTGGTGACGAACGCTAAGGTGATAGGATAATAGATAGTAATCGTTATCTCTTTCTTTAATTTTAGTGTGACTTCTCAAAAATCAGTTTCTGAGAAGGGAGACGAAGATTTTCTCATGAAGTTTTTTAAATCTCACATTTATAAAACGTTTAAATATTTATCGATGAAGAACATAATGCTTATGTATTATCTTTTTTTTTTTGATATATCATGTTGATTCTTCTTCATCCCCATATTCTTATAATCAGGTTATGATGATCGAAATATGTTCTATATGTGGAGAACGGAAATTAATAAATGGAATTCACTGGGATTTCATAGTCGATGATGAGCGAGGATCTTCGTTTAGTATAACTCATGAAGATATCAACTACAATGATTTGATTGGGGTTGTTTTAGAAGATTTTGGAATTGATGACATCATAAACATTGTAAATCTTAGCTATGTCTCACTTTCAAAATTAAACTTTGGTATAAAAAAGCTTTCTCTAGTATTTATTTGGAATGATCGTCAAGTAACATTATATCTGAACAAACTTCAAGGGAATGAAGGCTTTCATCTAAGTGTAACCATTAATGTAACTACACGAAATTCTTTGCTAACGTTTTTGTATAAGAGTTATCAATTGTTTTACAAGGTAGTATATAGTACTCATAATTTATTTATTGCTGAAAATATGACATAGCAGTATTTATTATAACTTTTACATTTACTAGATCCTCTTCCCGGGCTACGTCCGGGTTATTTGGTAGGAGAAAAATCATTTGTTGTGTCATTAGCTATGTTTTTAGGAAAGGTGTTGATTTTAAATATTGGAAACCCAAGGTCCAATTATTTGTTAGCAGGTGCGTTATACATCAGATATTTAAGTAACTGCGAAAAATGGTCAGACAAAGATCTCGTATTGAAAAAGCAGGTAGTAAGTAATGTTTGATGCATAATGAAATAGAAGCGTTGGTAAAATAATATCTAGAAGTAGATGATAGTTTCCATAATCATAAAGAAAAAATTTGTAAAGTCTTAAGCAACATGGAAATATTAATGATGGAGAAGCATGGGGTACTCTCAAGGTAGAGGGTGTAGATGGGGTGAGAGTTTTTTGAACTGGAGCCTGAAAAATAATTAAAATAAGTTAGTGAGTAGTTAGTAGTAATAGAAATACGTTTATTCATTTCATAATATATGTATAGGTACCTGGAGGTGAGAACATATCTATCGTCACGGTAGAATTTTAGCTTCACATTTATAATGGATTATAGTGTGATGCATACGCCCGGCCCTTACACTATAAGAATCCAAGGTCAGACCCACCATAGAATCGGATCACTTATACCACAACGAGGAAAAATGCCCAAATATCTCCAGCTTTACATATTTGATACTGACAACGAAGTAAGGAACCGATTACACGCGATGGGTCAAACGTCAACTGAAGGAAATCTTGATGCGGAAACCTTAGAGCGCCTCCTCAAGATGATTGATGAGAATAATGGTCTGGCGAAAGTTTTCCGCCGAGCACGTGGCCACTACGAAAGCGTTGAGGAAAATTTCCATATTAGGTTACTCCCAGATAAAGGGAAAAAGGAAAGAATACGATCTTCCGAGTACAAGCGAGGTCGCCGGCCTTATCGTAGGGGATATGTCAGAAACAATCGGAGAACGAGATATTGTAGTCCAGTTCCAATCTGACACTTTACAGCATATTCGTGATGACCACCCCCTATACATGAGCCTCCAATACGATCTTCTTTTTCCATTTGGGGATTATGGTTTCCAACCCGAGATTCCACTACATCTTGAGACAGGGACTTCAAGGACAAGACAATACCTAACGATACGTCAGTTCTAAGCTGCTCAAATACAGACGCGTCTTAATCAGGGGTTGACATTGATTAAAGGTGGTCGTCTCCTCCATCAATATGTTATCAGCGTTTACACGGCAATTGAGGAAGACCGGTTACGATGGGCGAGGAACAATCAAGATGTCCTACGAGCAGAGCTCTACAGTAATGTACTTGATGCTGTCTGTAGTAGGGACACCATTGCGCAAATTATTGGTCAGAAGTACATATTGCCACCAAGTTTCACCGGTGGGCCTCGATACTTAGTTGAGAAATACCATGACGCAATGGCTATTTGTAGAGAATATGGGAATCCAGATTTGTTTATCACAATAAAGGCTAATCCGAACTGGAGAGAGATAAAGGAGCATCTTGCGAAATATGGTGAAAACTCGCCAAATGATAGACCAAACATCGAATGCAGAGTATTTAAAATGAAGCTAGATCATCTAATGAAAGATTTCAAAAAGGGCACTTTCTTCAAGCCGTATACAGCAGCTCTCCACCGGATAGAATTCCAAAAAGAGGTCTACCCCATGCACATATATTATTGTGGCTCGGTAACTCTTCTAGAACTCCAAGTGCGGAGGAAGTCGATGCGATTATCTCCGCAGAGCTACCTAACAAAGAGGAGGACCCAGAAGCGTGTAACTTAATGACTAAACACATGATCCATAGTCCATGTGGTGTACTCAATCGGAAATCACCATGTATGGAGAAAAATGTGTGCACAAAAAAGTACCCTCGGCCTTACACCGATTCTACTTCGATAGACAAGTCCGGGTATGTACTATATCGTCGTCGCCGGAATGATAATGCTTATGTAGTAAAGGACGGGACAATCCTAAACAACGAGTTTGTTTTGCCTCATAATATTAATCTCCTGAAGAAGTACGAAGCTCACATCAATGTTGAATGGTGTAATCGTACAAGTGCAGTTAAGTACTTATTCAAGTACATAACCAAGGGTGTTGACAGAGCAAGTGCGGTCATTGAAAATGGGTATCCGGGAACTACCTCAGACACTGCTTCCTCTAGCGAACCAAAGGAGAGGGTCATCAAGCAACATAATGAAATTCAAGAATACTTCGAGGCTCGATATTTATCAGCATGTGAACCGATGTGGCATACGTTCGGTTTCCACATACACAAACGAAAGCCGGCAGTCGAGAACCTTATCATTCACTTAGAAGGGGAACATAGTATCACGGTTAAAGAAACTAATAACCTCGGACGTGTGTTTCGTAAACCTGGTATTGAGAAAAACAATGTTCACTGAGTGGATGGTCTTATGCAGAAGATCGGCGTTTGCACGTACACTAACCTATGTGGAAATACCCGAATATTTTGTATGGAACAACAATACGAAAGTTTGGAGTGAGCGTAAGAGAGGAAAAAGCATTGGAAGGATTGTCGCTGTCCATCCATCAGCAGGTGAACGCTACTACCTAAGAATCCTTATAAACAAGGTAAAAGGTCCTAGAAGCTCAAGAAATATAACAATGTCAAATACCCTGACTTTAAATTGACATCATTTTCGAGATAGCCTCGTGCGTGACAAACTGATTTAAAGTCAGGGTATTTGACATTGTTATATGTCTTGAACTCGTCATAATTTCTAGGACCTTTGACCCTGTTTATGAGGAGTCTTAGGTAGTAGCGATCACCTGCAGATGGATGGAAAGCGACAATCCTTCCAATGCTTTTTCCTCTCTTACGCTCACTCCAAAATTTCGTGTTGTTGTTCCATACAAATATTCGGGTATTTGCACATAGGTTAGTGTATGTGCAAACGCCGATCTTCTGCATAAGACCATCCACTCAGTGAACATTGTTTTTTCAATTCCACGTTTACAAAGCACACGTCCGATGTTATCAGTTTCTTTAACCGTGATACTATGTTCCTCTTCTAAGTGAATGACAAGCTTCTCGACTGCCGGCTTTCGTTTGTGTATGTGGAACCCGAACATTCGCCACATCGGTTCACATGCTGATAAAAACCGAGCCTCGATGTATTCTTGAATTTCATTCTGTTGCTTGATGACCCTCTCCTTTGGTTCGCTAGAGGAAGCAGTGTCTGGGTAGTTCCCGGATATCCCTTTTAAATGACCGCACTTGCTCTGTCAACACCTTTGGTGATGTACTTGAATAAGTACTTAACTGCACTTGTACGATTACACCATTCAACATTGATGTGAGCTTCGTACTTCTTCAGGATGTTAATATTATGAGGCAAAACAAACTCGTTGTTTAGGATTGTCCCGTCCTTTACTATAGAAGCATTATCATTCCGGCGACGACGATATAGTACATACCCGGACTTGTCTATCGAAGTAGAATTGGTGTAAGGCCGATGGTACTTTTTTGTGCACACATTTTTCTCCATACATGGTGATTTCCGATTGAGTACACCACATGGACCATGGATCATGTGTTTAGTCACTAATTTACACGCTTATGGGTCCTCCTCTTTGTTAGGTAGCTCTGTGGAGATAATCGCATCGACTTCCTCCGCACTTGGAGTTCTAGAAGAGTTACCGAGCCACAATAATATATGTGCATGGGATAGACCTCTTTTTTGGAATTCTATCCGGTGGAGAGCTGCTGTATACGGATTGAAGAAAGTGCCCTTTTTGAAATCTTTCATTAGTTGATCTAGCTTCATTCTAAATACTCTGCATTCGATGTCTGGTCTATCATTTGGAGAGTTTTCACCATATTTCGGAAGATGCTCTTTTATCTCTCCCCAGTTCGGATTAGTCGTTATTGTGATAAACAAATCTGGATTCCCATATTCTCTACAAATAGCCATTGCGTCATGGTATTTCTCAACTAAGTATTGAGGCCCACCGGTGAAACTT